TTTTCGCAAAACTATAATTATTTTCTAATTAATTGGTTTAATTCCAATAACCTATTTCAAAACTTACACAATCCCGAAAAATTTCCGTTTATAGTTTAAAACCCATTGTATTTTTGTTTTTTAATCTTATTATTCTCCTCCCCATATCCTTTTCAATTCAAATCATTACAATGTTAGGTTTCCTCTCAAACCCAAATCTTGAAATTTGGTAATTCGTTGCTATTCAATTCTGACAATTTTATTATTGAATATCATGGCTTTTCAGATGATTAAAGGGTCAGTTCGCGAAAAATGAGAGAGGGTATTTTTTCGAATATTTTTAGTTAAAATGTTTACATTCATTATTAAACGAGAAATCTTTACTGATCAAAAGCAAATTTTATTATACACCTTTCCATTTTTACGACCACCCCCTTTAGGTAAATAGTAGTCTACCAATTTTAGGCAAAGATGGAATTTGAAGATCCTATAAAACGTGATACCATGAATGAATGAAAACATAACCCGCCCCCCCCCCATCCTTCCTTTTCTAAACCCTGTCACCCTGAACACAACCTTTCTTTGAGGAATAAAGCAGGAATATTATACATTTAAATTTCTTGTAAGTTTTAGGACTTCTACAGACTAGTGAAGGGGGTGGGGGTGGGGGGGGAGCAGGTTTAGTAGAGACCTAGGTTTTATAGGGTTCAACGAAAATGGTCCACAGTCGACACAAAGAATCTTTGTTAATCATGGAATCAGAATTGAAACATTCAATAATCGGTTTTATTGTCATTTGATTTGTGGATAATAGAAAGTTTATATAACTGGTCAAGTGTNACTTAAATTTTTCTATATTTTAAAATATGCTATATTGTAGAATTAAATAACTATTCTCTGATTTGATTTTCCAAATATAAGATTCCTGAGTAAGAATTCTTCGCTCCGATATAATCGCATCATTTAAATCCGTCCCGTCGGTTAAACCGAGTGAGAGGATCAGTAATATCAGGTACATGGAGTACATCCTCATCTCCTTATTCTCCATCCCGACATGGTTCAAGATTCATCTCCCAACACTCACTGAAATAGGAGAACACTGTAATCACTAAACCCTGAGCAGGGGGGATGGGAGCACACCTGCAACGGTTTCCGGAGGTACCAAGCAACACTACCATTCACTACCACAGTCAATATACAACTGACGTCTGAGTCTGACACTGCTCCGTCCCAATACTTATTAGGAGAGTCGGAGCGTTAAACCAAACCATAAGAATCAAACCTTACAATATGATTTCAAATTCACATTCAACATTTTTAAAAATCTTAAATAAAAGTTTTTAAAGAAAAAGCACGTTTTGTTTGTTATAACGTGTGTTTAAAATTTAAAAGATAAGCTCGCTTTGTACTGGTCTGGTTAAATGCATAAAAACCGTTGGAAAATACTGGGTTAACGTACCACGGAAAAATGCAGGTATTTAAACTTACTTATGAAGGTCTACCTAAAAACGACATCAAACCATGGAATATAAAAAACTAAATTAAGTATCCTAGGTTTTTAGGTTTTACTATCATTTTGAAATTACAAAAATCCACGTAAAGTTTGATAAAAAATTCATACTAAGAATTTATAATTGTTGGTTCAACCGGTTTAGACAATATAAATTTCAAATTTCCTTTTTAGTACATTAAATAGTTTTGTGAACGTTAAAAAATGTGTGTATTTTCATGCAAAAAGCAGTAAGGCAAACCTGGTGTTCTATAAGCAATTATCTACTTACATTTTCAAGTTTGAAAACCCCACGTTTTCTGTTATTAAGGAAACTAGACTTAGGAACTGCAACTTTAGAAATCTGAAAACTCAGTCAAGAAAACCAAACGGAAATTTTTCCTCAGAATTTATAAAGTTTCCTTGGGTTGGGTTGGGAAACCGATAAAAATCAGGTATTTGTGGAGAATAGAGAGGACGGATTGTTTACTCCGGGTTCAGGTGTTCACTAGGATACATTCCTCCTGGATTAAGGTTCAGTTCTCTATAGGGTTTCTTAGATCTTTCCGAGGGATGGGGGAATGGGGGGGGGGGGTGAAGATATACATATGTAACAAACAACACATATAGTATATTGCACGCAAGATTGATATCTTATATATTTTCAATCAAAACTCATCTTATTAAAGGACTATAAAGAGGAACACAAACTAATAACTAACCAAATGAATTTGCATTTCTAATTCTTTTGTGTTAGATCAAATCTGTAGGAGCTACGAGGTCACAAAGTCGTACAAGTAATGTCAGAGTTTGTGGCAAAGACTCAATTCCTTTACAAAGTTTTATATCGTCTATAGTTTTATATTTAAAAGTACTATGAAAGAATTTTATGCTTATAAACTCAGGAATTGTTTTATGTTCCATAATTCTTTTTTCTAGATTATTTGGAACCCGTGCTAACTACTGTTTTAATTACTCTGGTTGTGGTTCTCAAACTCTTTATCGTTTAACCAACTCTTCTAGTGATTTCACTAACCCCTGGTCCTGCGGGCTTTTTCTTTTCTCTAAACGTACTTATCACTTGCCTCATACTCAAATGGTCTAAATCTGTGCAGCCTAATGTTGTATACATATATTTCAACTTTACTCTAGGTTTAAAATATCGAAAACACACTGCGGAAGCACTGATTGTTAAATTGACCACCCTGAGTAAGAATTTACTCTGGACAGTGTAAAACTGACTACTAGGAGAATTTACTCTTGACACTGTTAAACTGACTACACGGAAAATTTACTCAGAACAGTGTAAAACTGACTACCCGGAAAATTTACTCCGGACAGTGTTTAACTGACTACCCGGTGAATTTACTCCGGACAGTGTTAAACTGACTACCGGGAAAATTTACTCCGGACAGTGTTAAACTGACTACCCGGAGAATTTACTCCGGACCGTGTTAAACTGACTACACGGAGAATTTACTCCGGATAGTGTTAAACTAACTACCCTGAGTAATAATTTACTTCGGACAGTTTAAAACTGACTACCCGGAGAATTTACTCCGGACTGTGTTAAACTAACTACCCTGAGTAAGAATTTACTTCAGACAGTTTAAAACTGACTACCCGGAGAACATACTCCCGACACTGTTGAACTAACGTTCCGGAGAACTTACTATGAGCTGTGTTAAACTGACTACCCGGAAAATTTACTCAGAGCAGCGTTAAAACTGACTACCCCGTCAATTTTTCTCCGGACAGTGTAAAACTTACTACCTAGAGACTGTGTTAAACTCACTACCCTGAGAGTTTACTCCTGACACAGTTAAACTGACACCCAGAGAGATTACTCCAGCTGTTAAACAGACTACCAGGAGAGATAAGAACACTGACTCACACGTCCCAATAAAAAGTTAGGATTTAAATTAAACTAATAGAGTAAACATTTAAAACGAAATCTTGCATATTTTCAAAATATAACTTACTGTAACGAAATGCCATGGAAAAGATCTAAAAATTTAAATCCTCATTTGAAGCAAATATATTAGCTTTTCTAATTCTTTAGTGTAAAATAAATAAGAATAAAAGGGTTAAATTAATTTTAAATCCAAAAATATGAAGATTATTTGAATTTTAAGAATTATACGATTCAGCGTGAACCTACAGGGTTATCCACAAAATATGAAACTGTAAAGACGACCGGGCAAAATCTTTTTTGTCTAATTTCTGAAAATTGTGATGTTTGTAAGCCTGTAAATTGTAAATATTAATTTTATGAAACTATTGTGTGCTTTATCATTCTTACTCACTTCATCGTGAATTTCATAATAAGCGTGCTATAAAGTAATCATAGTGCTATAATGTTAAATTAGCTGTACATTATAGCACCTTGCGGTAAAGTAATAATCGTGCTATAAAGTTAAATTAGCACGTGTGCTTTAAAGTTTTGATTTGTTCCCGGATTTTCTCAAAAAAAATTAGGATATTTCCAAAATATTTTTTCAGTTGAAATGAAAATAAAATTGAAACCAACTTTATATGTTGACTTCTGATTTGTTTGAAAGCTTATTTGATCTTGAAATGGCCATTGAAATAAGACAAGTACAAAAACGTTTCATAAAATTACCTATAATACTATTATTATGGTACGACGTGCCATAAAGTTTTTGGACTTTAATTTTCTCAATATCTCGAAGGATCTCGCCTTCATAGATTATATTTTAAAAAGGCTTGAACCTTCTCGATAAAGTAATTTTTCTGTCCAAAAACTTTATAACAATGCGAACCAAAATAAGAGTGTTATAAATAGTTATTAAGTATTATAAGTATAGTTATTATATTTGTTTTAAACCTAGTATTATTTAATTTAACTATATCGTGCAAAGAATCTTATTTTAAAAAATTTAGCGTCTAGACGAAAATATCGGAAGAAAATATTTCTTCAAGTTATTAAAATAGACATTATCTTAGATTTTTAGATGAAAGCAGTTCTCTAAAATATTTCTTCTAGTTATTAAAATAGACATTATTCTAGATTTTTAGATGAAAGCAGTTCTTTAATAAACTAAAATATTTCTTCAAGTTATTAAAATAGACATTATTCTAGATTTTTAGATGAAAACAGTTCTTTAATAAAATTAAAGGAAATAAGTTTCTGCCACAAACTTAAATTTTTTAATCCCTATATCTTTGCAACCCGATGTCGCAGACCTTTGTTATTTAAAACGTACTATGATTTCTGTTAGATCAAATAGTCTAAGTTTGCAATGTCAAAGGTTTATGGATTAGAAAATTTGAGTGTGTAGGAAAAAGTCAGTTTTTTAGTAAGTACAAATGCATTGAAAAAGTCATATTTCAAGTTATCATGGATATAAGCTTTTAAAGAAACATTATTTGGTTGGGTAAACACAACTAATGAATAATGTTATTTCCGTTTTAGAATCTGTTGCTTCAAAAGATGAAAAAAAACATTGACAAAGAAGCTACAGAGCAGGTGCAGCTAACTTTGCAGCTTGGATTGATTCCGCTCCGATAGGTTTCATAAACTTAAGATGAATGTAATAAAGTACAGACTAATCTTCAGGAAAATCAGGGACCAAACAATAATCAGAACTATTTAATTTTTTATCCCTATATCTTTGCACCCTGATGGTGAAAACCTTTGATATTTCAAGCTTAGAATATTTAATCCAACAGAATACATAGTTTGAAATATCTTAGGTCCACGACATTAGATTGTAAATATGGGAAAAATTATTGAAAAACTTTGATATTTGATATCGATCTAATTGTTCTTGTTTTTTTTTATTTTCAAAAGTCACATATTTAATTTTGTGTTAAACCCCTAAAAAACTAACAGAGACTTAAAAATCAGCAACCTCCATTCTCTAAAAAAATTGCTTTAAAAACCCCTCTCCACCATTTAAACCCCTCCCTGGGGGGCAAGACTTCTTAAGGGAGGGGCATGCCCCCCCCCCTTAATCAGGCTAGGGGGGCCTGGCCCCCCCTAGTTGCGCGCTGAAGGCAATGTTTTATTAGTTCGAAACTATTAACTAAATCGTTAAACTCAGGTGGAAATTTATGAATGGAGAGATAGATGAACGGTGATGCTTGAGATATCATTGGCAATATCTTTTTAAAACTGAAGCTAAAAGCAAGTTCTTTTAACAATAATAATACAAAAATCTAAAAGTGTTTAAAGGGAAAACTCTTAAATTTTATTTTACTAAATGAACCTATGCTCGTTTCTAATTGAAACTAGATTTCTTAGTTTAGAACCACATTGAAAAATAGCTCCAGGGTAAAATCAGCCCCCAGGGGGAGGGAGAGGGGTGGGGGGGGGATAAGTGCAACACCAACTGTTGGTAATTTACATGCGGAAGTATGCGGAATATATAGAAACTGAACAATACATGATAATAATAAAATAAAATTTTCAGCAATACGTTTAAAGGAGAGACTGGCTAGACATGGTAGTTGAGCTGAGTATGCAGTATTGTAGAGAAATATTTCAGGATTCATCATTGTTAAAATCAAATATTTCTTTATAATCATTATATTAAATTTCTTGTTTATAAAAGTGTTGTCTTTTCAAACGGGAAACGTTTGTCAACATAAAAAATTACAAAAACCGATACAAAATAAAATTACTTATTTTCGATTATAAGAGTAAATTTTAGTTTTCTCAACCTGTTTCTAAACACTTATTAGTTATTAATTATACACCGTTAAAACATCTCATGGATCTCAAATTAATCCTAAAACATTTCTCTACAATACTGCACTCTCAACTCAACTACCAAATATAGTCAGTCTCTCCCTTTAATGTAAATAATGAGAGGGGTCTTACTCATAGTTTGCAAAATTGTAACTTGATAATATAGAATCTAATGGTAGAAGTTTAGAACTACATTTTATCCTCTTTTTTCAGTGATTCAGGGATTCAGGGATCGGAATGTATGAATTTGAGCTAGGTCTAGGGACGGTTAAACCAAATCTCTTGAGCTAGGTCTAGGGACGGTTCAACCACATCTCTTGAGCTAGGTCTAGGGACGGTTCAACCACATCTCTTGAATAGGGAATTTAGGATTTGTCCATGTTCTTTAGATACATGGAGGTAGATAGTTCAGTGACCTAACTCAAATTTATTAAATTCAGTTCCTGGGAGAATATGTTATTCTTTTTTAAAACATTTTTATTTTACTCATATTTTTACTCTTTCTTTTTAAATAATTGTGTTCAAGAAAATACAGTTATATATAACATATAGGATGAAAGAATGAATATACGAATGAACCGGAGAAAGGAAGGATGACTGAATGAATGGAATAATTGGGATGATTATGTGTTATGAACAGGTTAACTCTCCAGGATGAATCAAATACAGCGGATGTTGCCAGTATAAAAGTGTACCCGGAGATCTCCTTGAAACCATTAAATAGAACACTACGACCCACCTGACTGGAGACCGAATTAAATCTGTTTCGTAATTTATAAAAATAAATTAATTTCTTATTAATTTCATGCTTCAAGCTTGATTACCCCGAACTACAGTAGCTA